ATCCAACAGTAACTTGACACACTAGTGCGTTATTTCCAGCAGGTATTCCCTGCAGGTGTCCCATCAATAGAGTTGTTAAAGGAGAGGTTGGATGGGACTTCAGGGCAACCTCGTGGGAGGTGGAACTAGATGATCTTTATGGTCTCTTCTAACTCAAGCCTCACTATCATTCAATGATATTTGTAGCCAGCCCATAGCAATTTGTTCCCATTTATCATATTTCCCCTTTTTCTTCCCCTCTCATAGTGTCATTTCTTCAGTGAACTCTGTGCTTGCTAACAGTTCCTCTGGGTAATTCATAAAAAACATTTCCTTTTTAAGAACAATCAGTCATGTCTGTTTGGCACAATATATGCTCACCAATGTTTCTCAGAATTCTTAGTTGCTAATTAAGGATTTCAGTTTCAGATAGTTAACATCTCTAAGATATACTGCTATCATTCTGATACACAGATGTGACTCTAAAAATCAAGGAGAAACTAGACCCTGACAACAGTATGTTTTGTTACACGTGCACTGCAGTACAGTATGCCACATGGAAGAAGGTACTCAGAATAATGGATTTTTTTTATAGTAACAGAGGTATCCAAAGTCAGTTTAGGACACAGAGAAGATCTGCTAAATCACCAGTGAATTCTAATCTTTAATGGTCTTGAATCTCATAGACTTTTTTTAGTAAATACATGTATGTGTACACATAGATTTAAAAACATATATATAAGACGGGATAAATACCAATGATAATGTTATATTAAAGCAATTTCTATGTTGGAAGAGAATTTATCCTAAATATTATCCACATGAGACTGCATGTAGGAGGGCTACATTTCAAGCCAGTCATAATAGTTAGGCTAAAAATGTTGTACTGAGGAACAAATGCATGCGATTTAGCAATTCCTAAATTAATTGTTCCAAAGATGATCCTTTTCACTTATGTGTCAACTTTTGTGCTGTGATACAGTATCTGAGTATTGAAAATGGCAGCTGGACTACAACTGCAATTCATGAAGCAGGGATTTAAAACACCAAGTCTGATTAGATAAATTACTGCTGTTATCTACAGTTCAGACATCTATCAGGCTGTCAGTGCTGGTATTCAGTGATAAATAATTCATGCATAAAATTCACACCAGTGACTGCTGACTGACAAATAGAATTATTAACATCTATAATCTTCTAGGTGATTCCATGAATCAATAATAGCTATAACTGATTTTCTACATGCTTTCATTTTCATCTTGGTTCCATATTAGGGAGATTTCTTTGTAAATAGACATTTCCTCATAAGGAAAATAATTAAGGAGCACAAATAGATCTCTGCTTATGGCAGAGGTGATCAAGCTAGACTAAAAACATTTTTCTGGGAGCCTCAGTAGTGTTCAAAAACAACACCATTCTTTAAATGGATGGCTAAATAGAATTTAAGCTAAGCTGAACTGCTTTAAAATATACGTGAATATCCCAATGTCTGATATCTTGTTTCCCATATCAAGTACTCTTCAGCATGCACAATAAATCTCAAGTATGTGGTAATTAGAACATGGAGAGAGAGCTTCAGCAACTTTTTTTTTATTTTTTTTTTTTCTAACTTGGAATAAATGGGAATTCCCTGGAATTATTTGAATTCAGTCATGACTCCTAGTGGCATCATGACCATTGGCAGGCAGCACCCACACATCTCAGTTCTCCTTTCTTGATACTACTTTGACATACCAGTATTAGTCTTTTCTGCATTGTCCTCCATGTAGTGTGAAGTACAGATTTATTTGATTTTCAGAATCTACTAAGCTGTTAAAAAGTCTATTGTGTAAATATGTGTAGGTATGCTGCCTTCCCAGAGGATTAAAAAAAAAAAAAAAAAAGTTGAAAAGCAAACTGATAATGATAATTAATATTGAGATTCATTTACTGAAAATTAAAAACAAGCAAACAAAAACCTCTCAATCGTAAGGAGACTTTTTTTTAATTTAAAAGTATGCCTTGTACAGAGGGAACTCTAAAATAGGAGAGATACTTACAATACATCTTTTTAAAATAGGAGAAAACTACTATAGCTTGCAAAAGCCAACTCATTGGGATTCAAGTAAATAAAGCTGTGAACAATAAATAATGTTCTCTCCCCTTCAGAATAGAAATTGATAAAACGTGGAATTTTACAGTCCTAAATTATGATAACAAATAAAACATATTTTTAGAAAGATTTATTTCAGTTGCCTTATGTATTTTATGCCTTTGCTGTGTATCCCAGGCAAGCTTTTCAAGTCAGTGTTTGTCTTCTGCCTCCAGCACTCGGAATGTAAGGACAAAGTAGCCAGTATCAAGGTCTTAACAAAGCCAGGGGAGATACAACATAGAAACTTGACCCTGATTTCTAAAAAATCATTTGGTTTAGATCAGGACACAGGACAGTCCTCCAAATATCAGAAAACTGGATTTACAATTTCAGCTTTGAATAATGCAGCAACATTCTGTGCTGTCAGAAAGGAGGCAGGGCAGACTGATTTAATGTAAAGATAGCAAAATGGAGCTCTGTTTTGGAATTGTCAATTAAAGCAGAGGATAGAGGATATTGTAGTGGATACAGAGTTTGTGTTTCAAAAAATCAAAGACAAAAGATTACAGTCCTTTGAAGTACTATAGAAGACTTTATCTCATATTCCTTTGTGCTTTGTTTCCTTAAAGTAAATTCATTAAGAAACTGAAACAAGAAATAAATCATTCTTATTTATTTATTTATTTATTTTAATAAAAGCTTAAAATATGAAGTCTGGTGGCTCAAAACCAGTAGGAAAATATGTGCTTTGAAATGCATGGTGTTTTAAAAGACCTGAATCATGATTTTTTAAATGCTTGAAGCTGACAGCAATTTATTTCATTTTTTCATAAGAATGAGAAAAGGATAGAATAAATAGACAATTCTTGCCTTATTACCACATGGACTTTTAAAGGCATACTACATAGTCTTCTCACATCGTAATAGTTTTTTTCCCCTTAGAAAGAAATCAAAGCTTTTGATCAAATTCCAGAGTGAAGTAGATGTGTAAAGATGTTTGAGTTTGAAACATTTATAATCTGTGTATTAAATAAAGGTACTGTGATTTCATTGAGCACTGCAATATTATCATACATTTGGACAGGGTTGATGAGAGTCCCTGCCTCTCTTCATAACAAAAAGCATTTTCCCTCATTTTGTCCTCATCTCATGGAAGAAGGAACCTCTGTCTTGAGGGGATTTCACACCAATGCAGAGGTTGAATATTCATGGTGACTTTGAGATCTGCTCCTTTTCCCCAGCTCCTCTGGGAGCAAATTATCTGTCCCAGCAGACAGCCAGACCACCAGAGATCCTGTGGCATTTCTCTGGAAAAGGGACTGCTACTGGTGGTGGCTGAAAGGGGGAGGGGGAAGTGAAGTAAGATTTGCTTTGAACTTCTATCTTTCCAATTTTTTTGTAGAAAAGTACAGAAATGGTGTACTCATCCTAAACCTAGAGAGAAGTAGGGTATTGCAAGTGATTCAGAGCTAAGGGAGAGCTGGCAGTATGGGATACAAGACTAAGACAGTATTCTGAGTGGAAGCTGTAGCGCTTGACTGTCTGTGCAATGCTTTGCTCTGGTATTCCTTTACTGTCCAATTATAAACAATCAATTTATTGTTTTTTTTTTTAATTTTTCCCCCAGTAAATTTCAGCTTCACCAAGTAACTTCCAAAAAGGGCTTCTAATGAATATGACTTCTGAGCCATACATATAACCTACCAGGACTGTATCGACATCTGCTTTTCATTTTGTTTCAGCCATGCTGAAACATGGCTGAAGTAAATCTTCTAGCTGTTGCTTCCTTCTGTGTCTTGGTTCATGCTGCAAAGCAGAAAATCTGCAAGAGCTTACTTCCTTTTGGATGAAAAGAAACTGAAAGGCTCCCTCCAGGAGCAACTGTCATACACACCAACCAGCAAGAGACATTCAATTCACTCCTCTACTAGCTGCTAATTGAATTGGTTTATTGGCAAATTTATACTTACCGGGCTGTATCATTCATCAGTGTATAAATAAGAACAATATAGCTGCTACATAACTTATGTACAGACCTCTAGACTGCTCCTTTGCTAGAAGCTGCTCTTGTACTAAAAATCAGGCATGATTATCATGAGAGGGTACATTCTGCACTGAAACAGATGGGGAAAAAAAAAACTTTTGTATTTAATTATACTCTAGATAAATAATTTTAAATAGAAAAAAAAATAAAAATTCAAATACTAATAAAGTGAACCAATCTGAAATATTACATTTTGAGAACAAAAAAGAGATTCCTGTAAATATTTTTCATTAGCAATCAACTAAAAGCTGACTAGGAAGAGATGTAACAGATACGTGTTTTCTTTTGCACCAGATATAGATGTGAAAATAGAAATGGTTAGAGGGCAGGTATTCCAAGCAGACAACTGTTTTACCAACTGCTGTTATTCCTAAAGTAGGAATTAGGGTGCTAAGATAGTCACAGTCTGTGATTTCTTTACCATATCTGTAAATATTTTTTGGTTCTTATGTGCCTTCTGATCTTGAACCTTCAGGTAACACTTTCTTTGCATTTTAAGCTTTTATTAGTTAGTATGAGACGAGTCTTTTTCGGTCTTCTATTAATCAAGTGAAAGTGGATATCTTTAAATTGTAGAATCTGCAGTTTCACAAAATAGAAGCAAATAAGAAATTGAAGTACTGCAATCCTCATTATGCAGTCACAAAGAGCAATCAGCTAGCATGGTACAGCAGCCTAAGCAGGAATTTCTACAAAACCTTTCAACACCCACTCATTTCATTCAAAAATGAAATTACGTTAGAACCAGGTGTTCATTATCAGGCTAGATCCTAAAAACAGAACAGACTCCTGGGAATCAAAAGCCAGAATGCTGTCAACAGAAAGGCACAGTAAAACTATATGTATATCTCTATATACACACCTTTTTCTAAAAAAAAAAAAAAAAAAAAAAAAAAAGTACTAATTTGTTCTAGAAATTCTGTGGATAGTGTTAGTGAAAATGTTCAAGATATAAGTAATCACTTTCTGAATATTTTGTGGCTAACTCAGAATTTGGAAATACACAGTCCAGAATTGTATTTAAAATCTTTATATACAGCAATAGGTTCTCTAAGGGTGGCATGCATAGCTGGGTCATTTTTGTCCTTTTGCAAAGAGCAGGTATCAGTGTTAAAAGCCTTTGTTAGTAAAAATTAAGAGTAATAACTTTTTTTTTTTTTTTTTAATAATCCGATTTCAGGTACTGTCAATTGATCTAACACAAACTGGGTTATACCAGCTGCTGCAGTGGGGAGTTGATGCGAATTCAAAATTGTGACTAACACAAATAACATCTGTGATATCCAAAGCAATAATGCTGCTGCAGCTAAGACTGAAATCTCCATTTCCAACTCCATTTTTCTCTTCTAGAGGTATAAGTGTTAAGATTAATCACGGAATCATCATGGAAGCATAAAATGGAACAAGGATTCTGGGGTATGGATTTTTGAAAGGAATCAAAGTTTTCAAAAGGACAAAAAGACAGCTACTTAATTTTGCAGCTGTGGAAATTCCCCAAGCACATCCTAATTATTGAAAAATTATCTTTTTAATTTGTAATATCAGACTCAAAAATATGACAATATTTTCTATTGTCTCATGAAACCATCAAAATGATCTATCGTGCCTCAAATGTAGACTGAAGAATGTAGCCTTTGGAAGTATTAAACTTACCAAAATAAGCAAATATATGATGAAAAGAAAAATAATAAAAATTTAAATTTCACAATAGACAAATTTACTCATAATTTCTGGTAAGTTTTCTGCCCTACCACTTCGAATTTTTTTACTGAGAAGAGGGTTTGTTTTTTTTTTAATTTGAAAACAGGTTTTGGTATTCAGGAATGTATTTGTAAACTGGACAATTGAGAGAGACACTGGAAGTTTAACCAAGATTGAAAATACGATACAGTATTCTGGTGAGTAGTCCTGGGTTTAATTTTAAAAAATCTTTTGATCACTGTTGTAAGTTAAATAAAACAGAATGCTTTTCAATTTATTTATTTTTTTTATTTATTTTATGCAGTAGGAATTCAGCTGTTCTGAAACAAAAGAGCAGAGGCATTTCTTCTCATTAAATTCATCATATAAGCACTGAGTATACTCAAAGCTTAATAGAACTACAACTTACCAAGGTTTTCACATACTGAGTTGGGCCTTGAAAGGTTTGTTTCCAGACAATGATCATCTATTTAATAAATAAATCTCTCCTTGGAATGTTTAATTTTTAATTAAACTGCTTGAGAAATGTTTTGAAAGACATGATATGTTACAGCAAGTTTTCTGAATAACAAAATGTTCCAATCCTTTTTACTTCTAATGAGACCACTTACTGCAACCTTTTCTAAAGCAAGGGCAGAGCAGGCATCACAGGAAATCCACCCACACCTCAGCCTTACAAGTTGGTTGCATTTCCAAAGCAACACTGTTCACTGGTTCCTTGCTAAACATCCTACTTCCACGAGCAAAACTGTGCAGTAGTCAGAAAGAGAAAGCTGAGTTTTATGTTGTTGTTGTTGAAGTTGTGGTGGTTTAAGATTATTACGAAGACATTTTTGTAGGAAGAGATAGTATCTTTCATAGATCAGCTAGCACACTTCAGTCTTTCGGAATTTAGGATTGCAAAGTTTCAGAATCTTGTATAATTTTTAGTGAAGCAGTTTGTTTGCTTTATTTTGAAGGAAAACTATAATTTGCAAGCTATATGTATATCTAAGAAAAAAATCAGCCTGAGAACTAAGCAATTATTTCCCATGTTCTTCAATTTGCCATATACAAATATTTAAAAATAAATAATAGATTTGGATGGGCTTGTCTATCTTCTTTCTGCATCTGCTTACATTTGGCCCTCTTTATTTCTACAGCCACAAAACTCTTGAGGCTGCATCTCTTATTCCAACATTTGATCATATCTATGTCAGCAAAAACAAGCATCAAGGATGTACTGCTTAAAAACAGACCTGCGTTTGTTTTCTTGATTTGATTCCTTGGAGATGACTAGGTATAGTTGGTGATATGAGGAAACTATACAGTCTCAATCAACTACATCTGGGATTCTGACAGATTATTTTTTTTTAATATGAAAATAAGCTTATATACTTCAGAAAATGCATAAAACTTAAGATCAGTGCATCTTCTCCTCTCAGACTCGAAAGTCAATTAAAAGAGGATTTCTTTTAATCTAAATAGTATAATTCAACTATCTATCACAAATATCCACCCCAATCATTCTGCATTTTTAGTGAAGACTTTTGAACGTATTTGTTTTTTGACCAAGGGAAAGGAAATTTACAAAAATAAATAAAGAAAAAATCATAAAGTTATTCTTGAAATCAGTTTTCCCTCCTCTAATCAAACTTCTGACAAGAAAGGGAAAAAAAACCATGAACTTCTATTACTTACTAGTCAGAGATGCATCTGGAAGCTGTGCTGCTGCACAGTCAAGAATTAAAACTACTTGGGGAAAAGGGGTGCTATTGGGTTCATTGGTGCTATTGTATCTTATTCAGAGGGCCTTTTCTAATATTTTTTTTTTCCTACAATAAGCAAAAATAGAATATATGTTTTAAAAAAAAAAAAAAGGAAAAGATTGCAAAACTTTAGTGTCTAGGTCAGAGAAATTAGAGCAATTTTTTTTTTTTTTTTTTTTTTTTTTTTGTAAATTCAGGACTTTAAATTTGCTTTTGACTACAACACATTATCTGTACCATGCTAACAAAAGAAAATTGCTCCAAAATTCTGTAATATACTCAAGAAAAAATACAACAGGTCAGAATCAAAAGGTGCAATGAAACAGCACTGGTTATTGCAGTAACTAGTGTTCTTGGCACAGCAGCTGCTTAACTTCAGCATACATTCTTTTCTTCCTGTCTAAAATACACCATGAGGTTCTCAAATGGATTTTTTTTATAGTATCTTTCTGAAAATTAGTTTTAAGAAGAATGATCTTCTAGTCTAATATGACCCCAACTTCAATATTCTGTAAATCTGTATTTTAAGAAATGTGATTATCTCTCTCTTGATTTTGTCTGCTTTTGCATTCCCATGATAGGATGAAATTAAGAATTTTATTTTCCCTACTGACTCTGAAGAATCTGAATCTAATAATGCTTTTGAAAGAGATAATTGAAAGAGATAAAAATCTTACAGCTTTCTTTGGTTTGCTTTCTAATATTAAAAAAACAAACAAACAGAAAACAGGAGTTTTTGGACCGAGGACATTAAGTAGTTTTGGGAGTAGGAACTTTTCCTATGAGGAAAGCTCTACTTAAAGTAACACAATTTCAATTATCACGCTATTGAAGTAATGATTAAAAAGAAGTCCTTGGGCCTAAAACAAGTGTGTAAAAATGAAATGAAAATGATAATTAAAACAAAAGTTTAATACCTCTTCACCTCTCAACAACTGCGCTATGTAAATGCAATCCCAGCACTTCATAGAAGAAAAAGAGGATTAAGTTAATTTGTCAATATGACACAAATATGGTCAAGTTGGAGCTAAAAGGAGCATCTCTACATGCAAAATCTTGAAATATTTCAAGAGTCTTGCCAAAAATAAGAATTTTTTTTCTGATTGACAGTGGATTTTTTTCTTACACAAATAAAATTGCATCTGTTGAAGAAAAAAGAGAGAAAGAAAGAAGCATAAGTCTCAAGTTCTAGCAAATGTTGCAACAAACTGATCATTTGAACCACACTAAGCGCTTGACAGACTAGCGAACAGACTTCAACACTTTTCAATTAGTTTGATCTCTTGAATGCAATGCAGTTTACATCTAAAAGTACAAAATCTAATATTGTTGTGGAAGTGGTAGGTTGAAAATTTAAGACAGTTTCATATGGCAATTGTCTTTAATTTCTTTGTAAATTAAAGGGAGAACTAAGAACATACAGATTTTATTTTTAAATCTATTGTGTGACAGACTGACAAGACTGAGATTGCTTTTCTTATAAAATTATTTATCTACTCACTTAAGACAAATATTCATTGCAAATGTCTGCTTATTTAACTTTGTTCATAATATTCAGTAAAAAACTATGTACATTGAATTACAAAATATTACATGAAATAGTGAAGTCGCAGGAGTGAGTTACTTTACAAGTTGAAGTTGTGTTTAGATTTACTGCTCAGTTGAAGTAATATAATATTTGTTTGCAGTATTCTGAATCAGGATGCCTGAATAAACTCTTGCAATAGGCATACTGAGGACTTCTTAGAAAAAGGAATATCATTTATACTGTTTTGTATCGCTACTTAGTACCTTTAGCAAAAATTACATGATCCCCCTAGTAGAGATTTGTGAATGATGGAATAGGTTTCATTTGCCTTCACCTGTCGCAGACACTGAATCATAGAATCAGAGAATATCCTGCTTTTCCACTGGTTATATCAGTATAAGAGGAAGACAATTCTTGTAAATAAATGTTGGCATATGCTGTGAATGTTAACACATAAAACGTACATGTGCTGTATTTTCTTGGATTTTTTGATAGACTTGAAATAAAATTCCAACAAGTAATATTTCACTGTCAAAGGGGAGCAGCGGAATTTTGTACCCCACTTTAACTATGCTCAGAGCCCTGCCAATGTGCACAAGCCCTTGTTTAACTAAAAATAGAAATTTCATCTGAGTGACAGTGTTGCTGGAGGGGTTACTTTTCAACAAATACATTTCTTCAAAGCACAGGGAGCTCATATGAACATGACCTAAAATACAGCCAGCAAAAAATAATTCAACAGCCTGGATAGACGAGTGGATATGTCAACCATCAGATGTCTGTAAGCTAGGACAATTCAATATGAGATAAAAAATAATAATAAAAAAAATCTAGCACTCTCCAAAGTTGCCAGCACAGCTAAACAGTAGAGTAAGAGAGGGTATATAATATTAGAATGGCAATCCTCAAGAAGTTGAATTTAAGTCCAGATGAAGAAAGCACAAAATATGACAAAATGAAAAACTTCTGCACTCGCTTGGAAAAATGGTCAGCTGAACAGGCCTCCTACATGCTACTTGCTGAGCAATAAAGTACATTGTATATGTTAGTAGAACAGGAGTAATTTTTTCTACTGTCTTTGGAAATGTGCAAATGTAATAGCAGAACAATGATCATGTCAGTTTTCTCTTCTCTCTTATGCAGTCTAAATTAGATACTACTGGTTTATTAGACACAGATTCAAGTGCAGGAAGAGCCTCTTTTTTTCTATTTTAATTTTTATTTTTCCAAATGAATGCTACAAGTATTTACTTTCTTAATCTGCAATATCTAGTCAAAGTCTTCTCCCTTCCTTGCAAGATCATAGAATGGCTTGCATTGGAAGGGAGCTCAAGGATCATCAAGCTCCACATGCAGGGCTATCGATCTCCACATTTAAAACTAGACCAGGCTGTCCAGGGCCCCATTCATACTGGCCTTGAGCACCTCCAGGGACAGGGCATCCACAACCTTTCTGGGCAGCCTGTTCCAGTACCTCACCACTCTCTCTGTAAAGAATTTCTCCATAATATTCAACCTAAATCTTTTCTTCTTCATCATAAAACCTTTTCCCCTTCTTCTGCAATTATTTACCCTTTCAAAGAGTTGACTGTCCTCCTATTTGTAGGCTCCCTTTATGTCATCCTGCAGCCTCCTTTTCTCCAGGCTGAACAAGCCCAGCTCCCTCAGCCTGCCTTTGTAGGAGAGGTGCTCCACAACCCTCTGATCATCTTTGTGGCTCTTCTCTGCACCTTCTCCAACAGCTCTCTGTCCTTCTTGTACTGGGGGCCTGAGACCTGGACATAGTACTCCAGATGGGTCCTCGAAAGAGCAGAGAAGGGAGAGGGATAATCACCTCCCTGTCCCTCCTGACCACCTCTCTTCTGATGGAGCCCAGGATGCCATATCATTAGACATGCTAGCTATCACCACTTAATGAAGTGTGATCCTCATCACTTTCTTTCCCTACTTAATGACACTAGATTATTTAAGGTGATCTTGATTTATCATACATACTTGCATACGTAGTTTTCTCAACTTATTCACAGCTAAATTGTGATTCTAAACACACTGATGGTTTGGTCATTACTAACATAATAACTTGACTTTATTGACAGTTTCAGATTTTACCATTTAGGTGCAGTTTTGTTGTTTTGGGTTTTTTTGTTGTTGTTTGTTTATCCTTTTTTTTTTTTTTTTTTTTTTTTTTAATGGATATTCCCACCATACTCTGGTCTGTCAAAAAATGAGAGAACATAACTTCCACTAATGTGTTTACTGTGGCAGTGAGGTACTGCACATTCAATAACTAAACATGCACTGATAACAGATGTCAGCACAGCCTCTAGTGTCTTCAGCAAATGCACCACTTTGTCTTTTTAATAATGTCTCCAACTTATGCAGAAAATTTGATTTAAAAGCAAATATCTCTCATTTTTCAGCTTCACCTTGGGAACAATGTCAGAGACCTTTTAGTTTGTAGTTCTGCTGTTTTTGAGAAAAATATCGTGACACTGATATAAACTTGAAAACAAAGTGCAATTCAGTATATTTTAAGGGAGATGGCTGAGCTGCATTTGAATACTACATGTGGTGGGAAAAAAGGGAGAATCTAGAATACTTAGTATGCTCATAGTTATAGTCCAAAATGAATGAAGCTCGAGACAAAAGTAACTGTTTCCCTCATACTTGTAAATTAGAAATATTCATATCAAATTCTCTATCATTTTGGTTTCTCATTAATATATAACATACATACAAATGCATGCATAGCACAGCTCTTAATATCCTGGCCTGTATCTACTTATGCTAAATGTTAGTGCACTGTGATTAAGGGGGCAAAATTCATGAGAAATAATTTATGATCTTCAAGTCAAAATCTCAGAGAAATTTTGTTGCGCATCATCCTCCCAGGTGAAAGACATGAAAACAAAACTATGATCTATCAATAAAGTCTTTATCTCTTCAGCATCTAGAAGCCCATACAAAACAAGATGTTTTCAGGCTACATTTTCAGACAGTACTCTCATGTTCTTCAGTTTCATCTTTTCTGCTGTAAAATTATCTACGGCCAGAACATCCATGATCAGTAGACGACATAATACTTAGAATTACACACATACACATAAAAGTAGAAACGTTTAATACCTTGTCTATACTGATACCATTCCTGTTACTACTCGAGAAAGTTTGATTGTACT